CTCTGCCTGTGAATGTTTTGTGTGCAATTAATGCAGAGTGTTTGTACTTCAGAGGATCTAAAGCATACCTACAAACAGGGAAGAAAAGAAGTTTCATATTTACATGATCATTTTTATTTGTTTATTTTGGGAATTGGAGTTGGTTCGATTTATATTGCCTTTTCAATCATTGTTAAAGGGATGATATAATAGTTTTGTGAACATTTTAAGATAATTTGCATTGAGATTTTACATTGTATGAGTTTTGTGCTGGTAGAAAAATTGAATTTTTAACGTCATTTTCCCCCCAGCTTGTATAGCACTAAGTAATTTCAATAGGCAGAGGTTTCACTCTGTTTTGTCACTTTGAACACATCAACCTACATGGGTAGCATCCAAGATAAACTTACTCCTTACTTCTTGTATCAGGTCCAGCATGACCCTTAAGCCAAAGCAGTTACTGAAATGCCAGTAAGATGTAATGAACGAGTTTATCTTGGACGCTACTCTGTAAGAAAAGTCCCTTGTGTCTATTTGCTTGAATTGTCATTAAATGTGATATTTCCCAGCTTTGCTTTTTTTTAACTAGGTTTAGAAGTGCCCAGAGCTCAAGCAAGGCCACAACATAGGGACCCTCTTCTCCAGGGCTCGATTTAAAATGTGTATAGATGGCTTTGGCAAGCAGGGTGCTTCATAAGGATTTATATCCATGAGGGTTCTGGCGTGTGGATAAGGAGGGGGAGGATAATTCCCTGGCCACCATTGCTTGCTAGGTTTACACCCGACCAGGAGGCCAGGTGCCTGTTTAAAAAAGAGAATTGTGTTTGTAGGCTCCTGTCAGTAGCTGTGAAGGACCAGGAATCCTTTTGGAGTACCGTTGGAGTTTCAAGGGGTGAAAACTTTTGTGTAGCAATATTTAAAGAGACAGTACGCTCTCTGCTGTGTGACAAAATACAGCTACAGATACAGACTTTTCCCCAAGAAAATGAGAACCCCAAAAGGACTGATGCTGGGAAGTTAGGAGGCCAAAACCGGCCTGACAGTGCTGGGAAGCGCAAGCAGAACCCAGGAAAAATACAATGTTTGCAGTGTAATGAATAAGGACATATGGCTGCCATCTGTCCTCTGGTATGTGACACTGGCAGTTAGATGTCTTTCTTTGCTTGTCCAGTTTATTGATCCGATACAGACTTACCTATATGTGGTAAATATACTCGTGGAGGCGGAGACAGCTAAGTCTGATGTAACACTACTAATACGTCAAGGCAGGATACTCCAAGGACTCACAAGGAACAGGGCTCTAAGTGCCTGCATATTTACTGGAGGTGAGAGTTCTAACAAGGTCTGAGGAGTCTAGCAGAGTCCACAAAGCCACCTGGGTTTGGCCAGAGCACCCCACAAGGGAGGATGAGCTTTGCTGCAAGACCACTCCTAGGTTGCGGCCCTCTGACTCATCTGAACAAGCAGCTACAAAACAGGAGCAGTCACTGGGGTGCTGGGATCACAGGAAAATAAGTGATAGAAACTGTGAGCACTGGGTGTTGTGATCACCAGAACACAAGTGAGAGTCACTGGGAGCACAGGAACACAAGTGAAAAATCTCTGGGAGCACTGGGATCACAGGGCCACTGGAAGGGGAACACAGGGGTGTACGGGTGCTGGAGCACTGGAAGCTCACTAGGGGCAGTCAGAAGAGCAGGAGACACTGCGGACACAGAGGTACACAGGTGTTCACAGGAGTGAGAGACCATTTCAGACAAATACTGGGAGACAAGCAGACACGGCAGCCAGCGCAGGGATGTGTTACTCGAATGCTGAGCAAGACATGCGATAGCCCTTTAAGAAGATGGCTGGGCTCCAATTGGTGTGACACCAGAAGCTGACGCCGGGGCAATGGAACAGAGACCTGGCTCTGTAGTGGGGAGCAGGTGAGTGTGACAGTATCCTACTACTCTTGTAGCCTTTGAGACAGGCATTGGGACTGCCTGTCATGAAATGGATCTATTCCCACTACTGATGAATAACATTTTGGGGAGAGACTTTCCCCTATTTCGGAACATGTGTAAGAGGAAGTAAAATACTGTATGTGAGCCTGATCTTTCTGAGAATAACTCTGGTGTAAAGGTTGTAGGGATGACTGCAGATAGCACTTTTCATTTTAGAGGTTTCCTGGGACAACTTTGGAGCCAGACAAGTAAGAGATTCCACTTCTAAAAGCACAAGCAAATGTGAAGGTAACGCATGGTGAACCATGTTCTGAAAATGTTTCCTCATATCGCTGCAAACGAGGAGTTGTATTAGGTTGACAAAATCCGTAGTTACATAGTATTTGAGGTTGAATAAAGACACATGTCCATCAAGTCCAACCTATTGTGTGTGTGTGTGTGTGTGTGTATAGATCCCTGAGTCATCTCGTTATTAGGAGTACTTGTACCCCTGTATATTACCGTTTCTCAGGAAATCGTCCATTAGAAACAAACCAAGATAGTGTAACATTACAAGAGGACCTGGTGAGTTTGTGGAGTATCTAATTGTGTCTAAATCCTATGGGAGGACACTTTTGAACTTTGCCAGGAACAAAGAAAACGTACTCAACAGTTCACTTGAGTTATGCAAAGACTAAAGAACATATTACTGAGCAATTAGTTTGGCCAAGACACAATGGTATTGCCAGCAGTGTCAACTCCTATGCCCCACTACTGCAGCCAACCGTTACATTGCCTGTGATCGAGGTACCTTTGAATTAAATTGCAATGGACCTAATAGAGGTTGTGGTCAAATCCGCTAGAGCGCACCAATATATTCTTTGGGTCGTGGATTATACTACAAGCTAGCCTGAGGGAATCCTTTAAAAAAAAAAACTTTTTTTTACTTTGTAGCAAAAAAGTTTTGTATGGTGCTGAATATTAACTATTTAGGTACTTCTGGTCTTTTCCATTTTCTTTGCACTAAAGGTGCGCTTTTCCATTTTATTTGCACGTGATTGAACATTATTTGCAAAGTGAATTTTCACCACATCCACTAAGCTAAATGAAAATTCCCCTGCAAAGTGAACGTGCTTTGCTATTTTAGTAAATCAGCCCCATTGTGTATATATTTTTCTTTAAAAAACTAGATGAGCTTTGTTACTGGAAAAGGTTCTGTTGTTGGAGTTTGGGGGGCTCTAGTGAAAATCTAAAGTCATCCCCTAGACAACATCCGTTCACACAGGAGAAAGCTATAAACTCTGCATGTATCTAAACTTAAGGAACCAGAATTGTTCTTGATGTCTGAGGCAGATCACTGCAAACATCATTCAGGATGCAAATTCATTTGTAGTAAATGGATATACAATTCTTTCCTGTAAACGTCTACAGAAGAATTAGTGGGAATGCATTTTTGCTTCCTATTTGCCTGTTTTTGACAAAGGCCACAGGAAAAGCAACAGGAAAGCAGAAACTGTTTTTTCCCCCTAACGTGCTATTTTTTATTGCCTAAATTTATCAAGTGTACATGCAACAAGTGCACTCCGAGCGTAATTACTGGTATGCAGGAACAGCTTTACACTGATCAAAACACACAAACAAAAAAAAAACTTCTAAAGAAGGCGCTTCTTAATAACTCAGACATTTAAAAAAAAAATCAAGAATACACACGAAGCAACTTAGATTTAAGATGTTTTTCATTTCTTCAAAAAAAATAATAACAAAAATATAACTGAAACTTTGTTGCTAACACATGAAAACATGACATAAGAAATAAACATATTTACATTTGTTTTGATTATAAATATACATTATATACAAAACAATGCTATAAAATGTAAAAAGTTCAGTGCTCTTGATTCATCTTTAAATTATTGAAATGCTAGTTAAAAAAACAAAACAAAACAAACAAAAAAAAAACCGATAGCAAGCTGCAGCCAACACATCTATTATTGAATTCTAGTCTCGTATTCAGGTGAGCCAACCATTACAGCTATGGTTGGACTTCCAGAAAGGAAAGAATGGAGACATTATGGATCTAGCTCAGTAGTGTATCAGTGTGTATTTAAATGAAAAACCAATATAGCTGTTGGTCATTTTCTAGTCCGGCTTCCCTCCAAATATTCGTTTTGGTTATAACAAATCACAGATATCAACATTATTGCTTAAACAAAATCTGATGGGATCGCACAATAGAATAAAGAAACTTGCTAGCCCTTTAGACTGACAGTTTTCTCGTATGTATAATCCTTATACTGGAAAAAAAAAAAAGACACTGATACAACAGCAGATTTCGGTGGGCGACATTTTGAATGTTTGGACAGAGCTAGAGTGAAGTGACTGGAGAGTTCATGTTATGGCAATAACAGTCATGGTATATAAATTAAATAAAAATAATGCACTTGATTGGAATGAACGTAGATTTCTATATGTTAATAAGGGCATTTGATGCAGTTTCACAACATTAAGGCTGTGGAAAACAGGCCTGTCACCAAACTGATAGTGTTCTTGAGTTAAAAAGAAAATAAAGTACTAAATCACAATTCTCAGTAGTGCAAAAGGAATTATTAAAAAGTGGCCAGCTTCATTGACTTGTCATGCAATGTAAAGCTTTGACTACACTTTGCTGGCTAAAGACTGGAACAGGCTACCGACCTGTGTGCATTATTTACTAACAGGATTAACAGAAATGTCCACACAGCACTTTCCACGAGCATGTCCCAAAACCTCTTTAGCATGGTCGAAATTTCCAAATAAACCTCTTCGCTTAATACTGTTCAGGTATTACATGGGAAAGCGGTGAACTTCATCCAGCACAACGTGGACTCTTGGGACATTCTTTAGGCACTTCTAAACACAGCAGGAGAACAACCTTGATAGCATTCTGCATAGCAAACTAATTCCATTCACTTTCTTCAGGACATGTTCTATGGTACGGATTACCAACATCCATTGCTGTCAGCAACTTTTCATGCAACATTTTAGAACAAGGAACGTGAAGCCTTAAAAGGACACTTTAAGAAACCATCTTGAAATGATAGAATGTCTATTTAAATGTTTGTATAATCCAGTTTGTTACATTCTGTTGACTGAGTTCCTAAACGTCAAGAGCCCAGGAGGAAAGTCTTTTGCGTCTCCTGCAAATTCACAGTCTGTTCCGTTGAGCTCAGATTATTCAGTTTTCTGAAAGCAGCACGTTGCACATATGTGATCAGAATCACCTCCAGTCCTGAATTACTGAATTGTAAACATGGCTACACGGCATGTCCCCATTCTGTGGCCTTTGAGAGAATGTGACAGCTGCATTTCTGAATGTTAAACTTAATGTTTACACCTAGAAAAGAAAGAAAAAACCCAGCATAAATGAAGGATTCAGAATATATATATATATACAATGCTGCAATGACAACTAATCTCTGCTACAATGGAACTGCTTCCTATCAGGGCTAGTTCACACCAAAAGCGTTCCAGGAGCAGAGCAGTTACAGAATGGATTAAAACTGCGTCCAATATATTCCAAAGGTATTTTGTGCTCTAGTTCACACTGCAGCGTTCAGTTCCAGAGCATGTAAAAAAACTGCAGAAAGCCCTATGTTCCCTGCTCTGGAACGCTCGCAAACACATCAAAAACGCATGCAAATGCCCTGGAACGCACCAAAAGCCCATTTTAAACTAAACTAAAAAAAAAATATGGCCCAGAACGCATCAAAAATAACACAATGCACTATGTGTGCAGAAACTCATGCAGATCTGGCCTGCATTTGGTGTGAACAATCCCTAAGTCATATATGGATGTCTGCCACTAACATGAATTTCAAATAAAGGGCGTCATGGAATCAGGGCCTTTTCAATTCCTTAGCACAATATGATGTTTACCCATATTGTGCTTTCAAAGGACCTGGCTACCTTGCCCATTCGGGGCAAAGTGACAGCATAGAGCATTGGTCCTTCTGTACTTCGGGTCAGCCGAACATGCTGAGCATGTTCGGCCGACCCGAAGCCACACGAAGCAAGCCGATGTACGGCTGATTTGAGCCGATGTACGGCTGAAATTAGCTTCACTTCAGATCGGTCATTCACTCGGCTGCCCTCGGCAGCTTTGTGAATAGACCACCATGTATTTTATGGCAACTGCAAAAGGAGGAAGAAGAGGCAGGGGAGCTCTGTGAAGGTTAGAATAACCGAGTCGGTATCAGCCCAAAGGAGACCTTGTCACTTTTCCCTGAATGAATAAGATGACAGGTAGTCACTTCAATATCTGTAGTTTATGTTTATAGAAGTGTATTGTACAACACCTAAAATGGGAAACTGTGACCCATATTGGACACATGAGATTTCCTTTAACAACACATATACATTCTAGTGTCACTAAGGTTGCAGTTTTTTTTCATTTCTGTACTGGATAGAGAATGGTTTGCCTCTCATGCAAACTGACTCTATAAAGAGGACCTGTGTTTTGCTGCAGGCGAGATCAGAGCAAAGTCTGAACTTCTCAGCTGCATGCTTGTTAGGGGCTCAGAGCATTTAACCCATAAGAATCAGTAAGCCTGGTAACTCTCATTTCACAATGGGAGGTCAGGTCAATGGTCTCCAAATTTGTCTCTGTGTAAAGTTTATGTAGATAGAAATTATATTGGTTTTTGGTCAAACTTTCTATAGCTTTACAAATTTTTAACTGATCAATATAGTTTTTACTACATATACACAATCATATCAATCAATCATATATCTACGAATCATTGTTTTACAAATAAACATTTAATACATAGCATAGGATTCCGAGAACCCCACTAGTTATCTAAAGTCAGAGCTTGCTGTGGGGCTCCGTTTGTCTGTGAAATCTAATAATGGATGACTCCTTGAGTTCTGTAAACAAGAAACGTATTTTGGCATAGGTGAGAATGATACAATACTTCATAGGTGAAAAGGAGACTACTGGCTGCCTTGCTGATGGTAAAACGACATAATAATACACAGAATATTTCATACACCCTTGACTAAAAGAAAATACTTTTCAAATTATATTTTTTAGTTGTACCCATTACAAAAAAGAAACATCTGTGCACACTGAACATTTCCTTTAAGAAACTCCTGTGCTATCTAGGTGATTCATCTCTGGAGGAGTATCAGCTTCACTAGAAACACTATCCGCGGAGTGGTGTTGGGCAGCGATGTCCTTACCTCTGTAGCTATCACACATTCGTTCAGTTCATCTGCTATCACATAAATTGACTGGTACATTGAATCCCTTGGCGAACATATCGTTGATATTCTACACTCTGGCTTTTCACTGAGGAGGAAAAGAAAAAAGCTCATGAGCAAACAAGGGTGGTAGTTCAAAGTTCCTTCTTTGCTACATATTTGGAAGGATCTACAACACATCTATATCCATTAATGCAGATTTAACATCATTTTGGCATATCATCATTATCATCAGAACAGGCTGTTAATGCTTCAAAAGATTCTCAGCTTATGGTAACGTAATAAAAAAGTTACTGTTCAAAGGGAACCTGTCAGGATAGCAATATGTGAGTGGTCATCATTAACTTGTTTTTGCAGGTGCAAATTCTAGCGCTGTCATCCTGATTTATGTTCTGCTGCTCAGGGGGTAATTTTCCTGAAACTAATATGCAGGTTAGGAGACTTTACTGGCTGCATACTTTTTTCAATGATAAGGATTGGCAGCGCTGGAGCTCCCTCCTTTATAAACAAGCCGGCAGTGTATAAGCTTGAGTGTAAAACAGATATGATTGTGGGCATCACACACTATCTTTAAATCATTTCATGTGTGCCTAGGGAGGACCCTGGATCCCACGTCCCTTGCAGTATACAAGGCTTCAACTTCTGTTAAAATCAGCAATATGCCCTCATCCTCCAGGGGGTAAAGTGCCAGGAGGTCCTGGGGCTTAGAGACAACTTGAATAGAAGGGTCCTGTATACAGCTTGAGTCCACCCTAGGCATGAAATTGATCTGAAGAAACAACATAGGCACCTGAGAACATGTGTTATTAGCTCACACATTTCATAGGAACTGAGAGGTTAACATTTAGGAAAACTGACATCTTGAGGGCGCGGGCTGTACTATGATATATACTTAGGATAAGAGTCTGCATATTCCACTCAGATGACAGAGACTACAAAGTCATGAACATTCTTCTCTGAACAGAAGGGAAATGCCTGTACCCAAAAGGAGATACAGGAGATCCAGAGAACACATTTTTGTAGCAGTGTAAAATATTTAATCTTCAATAAGCATTTGATATTTCTATATTCTATTATTGGTTTTACAAGTTACTAATGAATATTACAAAAAATAAACGTGAAAGGGACATGCAGTTATTTATGAAAATAAATATATTAGGACATAAATAATTTCACTATCATCGCTGAATCGCGTCAAAGCTGCGCTGGGCACATGACAGTTGGAAAGTTAGATTACCGGTTGCTATAAAGCACAGTACAGATGGTTATTATCACAAACATTTTGATACTAAGACCCATTTTATTGATTCTTACTTGTGGCTATATGTAAATTCAGCATAGACTACAAAAGTCTGGTTCATGTTTTGTTCTGCCTTACCTGTGTAAACGAAGAGGGTATTTCTCTTCTTCTAAACATTTATCACTATTGTGATACTTGTCTCCTTTTGAAATTCCATTGCTGACACCAATGAGTCCATTGGTTATGTTACAGTCTAATGTATGGTTTTTTAGCTTGTAATTTGATTTATCCAGACTAAAATCCACTTCCAGGTCCTTCTTTTTGTTTATATTCTTTAACTGCGAGGCTGATATCAGGTTGTCTTTTTGGAAATCTGATAAATTGTTCATTGTCTTTGTGTCCTGCTTTGGCTGCTGACGGAAATGTCTCACAACGATGAAGATCATACACAATAAGACGAGGAGTCCCACCATACCAGCACCCATGAACACGGCAACCCATGGAAATTCTCGAGCCGGGAATTCGCAGTGGCTTCCCATGAACCCGAAAGGACAGACGCAAGCAATGGTTTTATCATAAGGCACAACATGGCATGAGCCCCCGTTTTTACAAGGGTTCGCAGCACATTCGTCTGTGGATTTCACATCACAGTTCTTCCCAGTGAATCCAGGGGAACAAATGCAGCCATAGTCACCAAGCAAGCCATAGCAGGTACCTCCATTGGAGCATGGATTCTTTGCACAGTCATTTACGTTAATAGCACACGTTGGGCCTCGGTATCCAGCAGGACAGCGACACAGCTGAGTGTAACCCAACACATAACACTGACCACCTGTTAGAAAACAAGTATAAAATATTGATTATTTTACAATATGGAGAACTACTTAATTAAAGTATCGAGAGCTACAACATAATTCTCTGTGTATCTGTATAGGTAGTTTCACTGTCTATTTTTTTTCTAATGACCATAGTCACTGTGACTAAAAGGAAGGGAAAAGCCAAAAAAATGTAAGTTGTCATTGGAGCAGGAGATGAGGGGAAATCTTCGCCTGGGAAGTCTAGTTCAGGTGACAATAGTCTAATCGGGGATTTTCCTCACTTTACAGAGACTTCCTTCTAACTTCTCTGCTTTTTCTAAAGGACAGGAAGTGAAATCTTGTAACACAGATGGCAAAAAAAACAAAAAAACCTGACATGGGTTTGAGCCATTCCCTATTCTGTCCAAAAGGGGAAAAACATTTTGGCTTTAATTCATGTAACTAGAAAACAGAATTAGAAGCCAAATAATATGTGTACCAGTGCAGGTTTTTTGCTTTCACCTTTTCTTTGCACATAACACCTACAGTCTGGAAATACTGAAACATACGCACAATATTCGGGGATGTTGCAGCACTAACTTTGAAGTAGTAGATTTTTTTTACTGTGACTACATACTGCCATAATTAACATTTCTGCAATGAACTAGATGAAGAAAAAAGATGTCATTTTACAGATGCATAAAAACTAAAGTCAGCTTAAACTAACAGTAGAGATGTCAGTACACGGTTATGGGTAGAATGACCAGTGAAAATGACCATTTCTCTCAGACTCATGTAAACAATCTCTCAACAGCAGTGCTTGTCCTGTTCTCCCACCATGATTGCAGTACTTGTAGTAGTCAGAGTACTCACTTAAATTTTCTATTCATTTATATGGAGAATTACAACCCTGCCTCTGCTTCTGACAACTTCTATGCAGTAGCCAGTGCTTCTGTGTATGGAGGAGCATGTGACTTACTGCCCTTTGACAGTGCTTGGGCTGGGCAGCCAGATGCTAGGCTTGAACACTGTCAAATGACCGAGAGAGAGCAAAGTGACAGCTGAGAAGGAGGAAGGAGTGGTGAGAGAGTATAGGTAGGTGAGCAGAAGGAGGTCAGGAATGGGGGAAGGGAGGCCCTTTGCAGAGACCTTGCATGGCCAAGGTGACAGTGTGTCTTTAGGGCTGCTTCAGTGTTCTCAAACAACTCAGCTAGAAAAGCATTGCTGGTGTAGGATTATTAGTGTGTTTTAAAGACAACGGAAGAAAAGGTGGAAACTTTATCCAGGAAAAGAACCTTGGTAATATCCTGTTGTTTACTAAGAAAATCAATACATCATGAATTGAAATACACACCATTTAGACAAGGATTGTTGGTACATTTGTCCTCTTTCTTTTCACAGTTGGATCCTGTATATCCAAGCGGACATTGGCAGGCATAGCTGGCACCCATCTCTCGTTCTCTACATGTACCACCATTAAAACATGGAGAATCTGCACAATTTAGCACACTGTGTTCACAGTGGGTTCCATAATATCCTTGTGGGCATTCACAGACATAGCCACTATCCACGTCCTAAAAGGATACAGAAAAGAGCTTTAATATAATTATCAGGTATTTGATGTTTAATAACTATTCATTTTATACCAATAAAGTAATTTAAATATTTAACTGTTTTTAACAAAGGAATTAAAGCCCGGCTCCAGACAACTTTTTTCTTTTGTATGAACAGTGGAAAGGTTATGGCCTCTGTTTTTTAATTGCTGTCTGTGTCCATGTTAAGGGGATCGCCCCTCACTTCCTGTGAAAATACATACAGCAATAAAAACCATATAAAAGGGTGCCAACCCTTACCTAATCTATAAAAATGTGTGTATTTATGCTTGTCTCGGTACCGCTGCCTCAGGGGCCATGAGGTGAAAGGTTATCTGCCCAATAAGGGACACAGACAAAAAAATGGATTCTACCTCTTCCTTACTTTATTAAAAGACAAAAAAAGTTTTGTCTGGAGTTGGTCTTCAAGACAAATGAAAACATACACCAGCGTGGAATAGCTGAGAGTGTATAATAACAAAAGAGAACAGTTCCCCAAAGCAGTAAACATGCGTTAGGCATATACATGTTGATAGTGCAAACAGATGCAAGGGAGAAGCTAGTTAAAGCAAGTCAGCACTGTAATGCTACAAAAACAAGGAAGAAGAAAGCAAGGACAGTATGTCCATGCTGCTGAGAACCAGTGTCAAGCGGCCAACCTAACTTCACTATCAGACCTACATGTGCAGGACCTTCATAACACAATCTTAAAATCCAGAGGGTTATTCACTGCCAAAGTTGCCAAATGCAGCCGAGTGATTAACCGACCCAAAGTGAAGGGAGCCGAACGATGTTCGGCTATTTACTTCAGCCGAGTACGGTTGATTTCAGCCATACATCAGCTGGGTTCGGCTCCCTTCGGTTCAGCCGAACAGTGCAGCTGAGCCGAAGTCAAGAACGCATTCGCCTCAGCCGAACCAACATCTGAGGCCAACAGCTGAGGCGAGCGTACGGCAGTTCACTCACTACTGTTCGCCCCTATTCTCATTAGGGCCAAACAGCAGTGAGTGAATAGCCGAATGATGCCATGCAGCATGCGGCTCGTTTATTCTGCTCGCTAGCGTATAATGGCTGAATGAAAACAAATGGGCGGAGTCAGCGAAGTTGTCATTCGGCTGGCACCTGTCAAAATTTCATTTTTGTGACCTAGTATGGTGCAGGGAAGGGGGCGCCCACTTTTTCCCTGTCGCCTCCCTTACTCCTTTCCTGCCCTGCCAGGCCAGTGCTCGGATTAATGGTCTGGTTTCTAACATTCCTAGCAGACCTAAAGGGTCTGGTATAAATCGGGAGGGGGACCCAACATTTTTTTTTTTTTTACTATTTGTGTGCATATGTGGGCAGACCTCTCTCCCCGCTTCGGCTGTGTCTTCGGCTCAGCCAAGCCAAACGCATATGTTTCAGCTCGGCTGAGCACTACGGCTGCCTTCAGCTGCTCAACAGGCTATTGTAAATGGCCCGTACCGCAGCCCTTCAGTTTACAATGAGAAGGTCACAAGTTCTGTAAGAGATTTAAACATATATTTCTTACTGTGCAACTGCCGCCATTCCTGCAGGGGTTACTATCACATTCATTGATCTTCTCTTCACAGTTCACCCCAGTATACCCAGCTCGACAAGAACACGTGTAGCTGCCCTGTCCTGTGTTCGTGCATGTGGCTCCATTTTTGCAGGGTTTATGATGGGTGCAGTAGTTTAAATCTGTAGCAAATAAAATGAATTAGTAAAACAATTAATCATCTTATACTTCCTAATCCCTTTCATCAGATTATTAACTATAGCAGCAGAAATCACTGATATTAAACTCCAATTACTGAATCTTATTTAAACCTAAACCCAGCCAAAATGTGTTTCTGTTTGTCCAGAATAGCGTGGAAAAGGGTTACAACCTGTCAAGATTTACTACTGTCTTTGTCCCCATTGGGATATTTACTCTCACTTCCATCCCTAATGGGGTCAGATGGCCAGGAAGTGAACAAAGACCACAGTGAATGAATGTTGGAAAAGATTAAACTGCTGTCCATCTTCCTGCCCGGTCACCCTATTTTTTGCCCTGGATTTGAGGTATCAGAAAACAGGGAAATATCCCCAAAACTCGAAGAAAGTGTGTCTTTTTTCAACCTATGTATCAAAAGGAAACACAAGAAGCAATAAAAAGCTAACAGAGATTCTAACCCTCTGCCTACTCAAGACAACTGTATTACTAGCCAGACTTAAAAATCAGTGGAATGGTAACTCAAAATGAACCCGTGCCCAGACTATGAACATTCAATTATTTACATTTTCTAAACAGACATTGACAGGGCTATTCACAAAAGGGGGAAGAGTTTGGAGAAGGCAGGAGAAGTGAACACTCTAGGCCAAAATAGCTGATTTGGAGAAATTCTCCAATTCAGCTCACTTTCCAGTTCAGATATGTTGTCCTAGATTGTTCACTTCTCCTGCCTTCTCCAAACTCTTCACCCTTTTGTGAATAACTCTGTGAATGTCATTTAGAGAAAACTCTCAATCATCTCTGTAGGTATAGGCATTATGGAAAAATTAATCTTCGTAATTCACAAAGGAGGCATTGAAATGTCCATAGTGTGGGCACAGATCTACTTTAACACTGACTATTAAAGTAGATCATAGAATCCAAATGTACACTTACCTTGGTCACAGAAAAGACCACCCCAGCCTTCATCACATATGCATTGCCATGGATTCTGACATGTGCCATGTCTACAGCCATTGTGGGGAATGCACTCATTGCAGAAACGTCCTTGCCAGCCAGGGCGACATCTGCATATGAAGAGAAAGCAATGTTAATCACTGCCCAGTGTAACAAGAGGTTAGAACACATATTAGAGTATTTCATTACATGCAATAACCCAGAAGCAACCAAACTCAAACCTACAGCTAAGACTGGCATGCATAATAAAGGTTGTTTTCCAATTCCTTTCCACAAGCATGGCATTTAGCATACAGCTGTATAAAGTCATAAAATGAGTATATATGTACTGACATCACTATACACACATGAACATTATAGGACATTTAAAAAAATAAAAGACAGGATGTGATTTAGCAAAACGCAAAATGTTCTCAGTATTATATGCAAACATATCACAAAGGGATTACTCATTTTCCTGAGATACAATCTCTGTGTTCGCCATAAATCAACAAAAAACTATAGCCAACAATAGTATGAACTAATCCATTCATTTTCCTCAATACGTGCAAAAAAAATCCCAGGCAAGCTTGCTCCAGTTTCCAGGATTTCTAAAGAGGACAGACATTTATACAGGAGAACAAGTGCTACTTACGAACATTCTCCAGGGCTGTTGCAGAAACCGTTTTGCTCGCTGCACCCATCCAGACATATTGCTATGGAAACACAATTTGTAATGACGGTAAATATTGTGAGACGTACCCGCTTGTTTTTATGTATATATATATATAAGCACACTGGTGAGTAAACAAAATATAGGTTCTAGTCAAAGGAAAGCTACAATATTTTACCAATTGATAATATTTCCGCAGTACTACAATAAGCAAGCTTTCAGGTCAACTTACAAAAACAACTCAAACTGTAAATGTGCAGAAAATCCATTAGAGTTTCCCTTTTGGAGATTATTATTATACACGATTTATAAAGAACAGTTTGCGCAGCGCTTTACAATATAAGGAAGACACTACAGTTACAATACAAATCAAGACGGTAAGGAGGGCCCTGCCCATGCGAACTTACAATCTAGAGATGATTTATATGGGGCTGATATATAACCCCCGCCCCCCATCGTAAAGCTGGGTGAATGCTGTTTGCACAGCATCTCCGCCATTAGATGGCACCACAGAGCATAGTTCTGTGCTCCTCAGCGCCATCTAGTGGTGGTTATGCCGTGCAAATGGCATTCGTTTACACTGGGAGGAAGATTTACACATCAGCACCTTGAAGTGTACAATAAACTAAAACTTGTTTTGTCTTTTCAGTTTTGGGTAGAGTAGGTAATGGAAGTTATGACCTTTGTCAGATTTTTTTGTGCTGTCTGTATATTCATTGGGGAGATTTCCCTTCTTTACCTTCTTTCCAAGAGACACAGCAAGAAGTAAAAAGATTTCTGTGCAAAAGCAGAAAATATCCCCTCTAAAGCTGGCCATACACCTATAAATTATCTGCAGCTTTTCTATGGTCAGATGGAAAAGTGCAACAGATTCTTCCATCTACACTAAACTGTGTGGATGGATGGAGGAATCTCCCGCTGGACCAAGCTTCAGTATCTTGCTAGTCGGCCCTGCTGGCTCTCAAAACACCTGAACAATACCTGCATCCAATCAGATTGTTCAGATATTTTGAGAGCCAGCGGGGCTGACTAGCAAGATACTGAAGCTTGGCCCAGCAGGAGATTCCTCCATCCATTCACACAGTGTATCGTAGATGGAGGAATCTGTTGCACTTTTCCATCTGATCATAGAAAATCTGCAGATAAACTATAGGTGTATGGCCAGCTTAAGGTAGCAGTTGGCAGAACAGGTGTCCTCATTGGAGGATTTCACCTCCAGTTCCTGTGACACCTCACAATGTCTGGATTTCCCATTACCTTCTATAGCAGAGATAAGTCACCAGGACCAATAGTGAGGGTGAATCTCCCCAGTATGGACATAGCTGACAGGTTTCATTCATTGGATTTCACCTCTTTCACTCATGAGGGTGTTACCTAGGGCAGTCTGCTGTTTGCAGGAAGCTATGTCCAGCTCCTACCTGCCAGCATTACATAGAGAAACAGGCATAAATAAATGCCAGCAAAAAGACAGGTGGGATCAGGTATGCAGCCGGGCCCTCCCTTCTCGTGCTTTTGTTGGGCTCTGGGTCCACAACCCAGTACCCGACTTAGGGGGTAACACTAAAATGAGAATCAGTCATTTTGGTGTCACCCGGTGTGGGCCGCACCCCCCCTTGTGATGCCACTGAGGTGAACCACCAACGGCAAAGTTAAAGCAGATGAAACTTCAGCCTTAATATTGTCTGAATTCCACCCCCTTAACAAAGCATTGTTCCATGAAAAAAACATTCACTTTAAAAATACAATCCAGCTGAGCCTTCAGCAGACGCGGTGAGCTGTGGATGTGGTTACTTCCTTTCCTAAATGGTCCGTTGAGCTCCATGTGTTCTATATAGAACTAAGTGAAAAAAATGAAACAACAGCGAGCTTCCTGGCACAACGGCGCATGTGTAAAGCTCGCCACTTCATCCTGGAAGGCTGAGCCCAGGTGCAGTAACTCATATAGTCATAAAGTCAGCCATGTCTTTCATCGTTTTACAAGATTTCCTTGTTTCTAAACAATTTAATGAGCCAACCTTTCTAAACAATTTAATGAGCCAATATATCATCCTCATCCCATCCCCCGCCTCACTTACAACCAATGTATTTACTGTACAAACATACACACGGCAAGCCATGCTAACCATTGTGAGGTTACTGGAGAAGACCGAGGCTGAGGGAAAGCAGATACTTCATGAAGTCACTCTTAGGTACAATAGAATGGTATGCATTATCCTGCCCAGAAATGTAGTCATGTCTCTCTGCCCCCCCGTCCACTGGGCAGCACTGTGATTATATATCTAATTCTGTAGAAACAAATTGTCACCAGCACACCGAAGACAATATGTGCAGATTCATCTTTATTGACGAGTACACATCATGCCACAAAGATATGATCATGTTGTGCCTGATGAAGGGACCCTAAGCGGCCCCCGAAACGTCGCTAGCTTTGTGACATGATGTGTACTCTTCAATAAAGATGAATTTGCATGTATTCGCTTCAGTGTGCTGGTGACAAACTGTGACTGTGGGAGCAGGGGCGTGGCTTGTTGGACGCTGCCTGTGTCTATGGGCGCACAGCTAGCCGCGGGGGTGTGCACAGGGGCGTCTCCTCAGCAGCTAGCTAATGGAGACACCTGCACATGTGAAGGGGGGTAGCAGTTTGGGGACACCTAGAGAAGGAGGAAAATAAAAACTTTCAAAGAGGAAACAAAAGGCAGCTGAAGTAAGTCTGTCCCTCATAACCAGAAAAAGAAAAGTGAAGGTGTAATATCAGTTTAATGACAGGGTGACAGTCAGTCCTCATGTAATCATACATAGTTTGGGATAGATGATTATGTCTGGATACTTGTACTCTGCACCCAGGGACAGTCATGTGACTGGGCATCATTGATAAAAGTTGAGCGTTGTCACGCTTGTACAAACACGTGACCATAAACGTCCCGATCAGTGTAATCGTCAACCTTATG